TCTAACCAATTTCTAACTACTTTTATTTTATTTAATGGATAAAATAATATAACTTTGCAAAAGTACATGTAAATGGATTTTTTTTTAAAGTATATTGACAGTTGCATAAAAACGGTCTCCGTTGTTACACTTAAAACTATTCCTTATTACTAATTCAAAGCTTTAATATAAAAAAGGTAGAAACGATAGGACCGATTAAGCTACAACAGAATCACATATGTGTATTGTTTAATTTTAATACGATGATTATGAATTACCGTTGATACTGCATGTTAGCGTATTCGTAGATGTGGGATGACAGACTAATGAATCACTGTGGAACTTTGCACAAAAGAGCTGCACTTCAAAGAAACGCACATAACAGGAGAGAAGTTATGCCCGGGGGAAAATAAATAAATGAAGATTAGTGATAATATTCAGAATTTAAGCGATGTTAAGAAGAGAATATTTTTGTGCCATTATGAACGAATTTGAGTCACACATGTAACAGTGAGTCAGTAACCACTGATTCCTAACATATTTAGGACTACAGTAACGCATTTTCATCTATCTGAATAATTGAGACGAATAGTTGATGAGCGTTTCATTCCCTACATCTTAACTAGGAAACAGTACAGTTAAGCCATTAGAGCGGAAGTAAAGCACAAACGTTTACTCTGTACAGTCAAACTGGGAAAAAATAGTGATTACTTCCTCTTTGTTTTCAAGTAGTTCTTTTAGCTGGTATCCCCACTTATAAAACCGATCAAATCCCCACAAATTCTGTAAGTCAACAAACGTATATGGCTTCACTGAAGAACTCCTTTCCTTAGTTTCATAAGCCTCACTGTATATAAAGGACCCCCAGCCTTCTGTTGTTCAAATGATTAGTGAGTGAACAAGCTCTTTTAGGACCAATGACTTATTTGTATGGATAGAAAAGAATAGCCTAAAATGAAGTAATTCAATCATTTTAAGGAATATAAGTTGGTTGGGGAAGTTGGTAAATTGCATTAGTAGTTTACTAATGCAGGAGGTAATTCAACAACAGTGTATCAGTTTAAACAAGATCATGTGACAGCTATGTGATGAAAGATAACCAACTTATTAATCGATAAGCACAACTTCTAAAAAAATTCAACAAAATGGAGTGGAAAGACAGGATAAGTGTATCACTTTATTTATTATAGAAAGGTACACAAAACCATAGTGTCACATGAAGCCATGAAATAAGGGAATAAAAGTAAGTGATAGCCTCACATGGTTGTAAATTTCGTTACTATAAGGCTCTAAAGTTACACCAATCTCGTCTGTTTAGGTCCAAAATGTATTCAACTTGAAACCGGAAAATAACATTTTTCTACCTGATTAAGTGGTGTGACAATTCAGAGTGAACAGAACTTATGTTGCGAAAGCCAATGATAATAATAATAATAATGATTCATCCTAATCAACATTGTTGAGTGTCCATTAAAGCAATACGATTGATTTGTTTGAAAATAACCTAGTGAACACAAAGTAGATTTTTTGTCTATTAAGCTTTTTATATACTATATGTAAATACCTTTTGCACTAAATAACTTCTGAAAATCAATAGACAGACAAATGCATAGGTTAACGTAAAATTATGCACAGAACTGTTTTAAATCAAGTCACTGCTATTTCATTGCAGAACAGAAAAGCAAGGTGAAGAGAAGCAGACTGCTAGAGAAACAAAATGGAGAGGATATTAAAAAAGAGAGAACAATTAAATGGAAATGAATAAAGGTGTTTGAAGCCGTGTAATTGAGATCCCACTAAGGTTATAAAAATTTTCCTCCTTTCACTCAAAACAACATTAAGAAACTTCATATAACAAAAAGTCACTTTCCAAATTAACTCAGTTCTAGAGAATACTAAGCACAGAAAGTAGCGGACAGTGGGATCACACTCAAAACCACATAAGTCCATTAGCAGTATGTCTCAGCTTCGCTAAGAGATCTCATTGTGTGTAAGCAAACACTGTCGCCTAAGTTTCACCCAACACTAACAGGAGCAACAGTCTCAAATTTGGACAGTTGACTTCAGGGAGGTAAAATTAACTTTTCTGTTTAGAATTTCGTTTATGTCTAAAAAGACTCAGTTCAGAAAATACCTCTGTAGGTAGAATCGAATTCGCACGTAGCTAGAGGAGAATTCGCCATGGTTTTCTTTGGAAGCCGAAATTATTCAGATCTCAATATGTGATCTTCATTATGAATGACGATCAAGAAGGCAAGAAAGAGTGCATAATGACATATTATGCTGGTTGGAAACCACTCACGTCAACCATTTCGGCGTTTACATCGCTTCAACCTGGCTACCAAGCACTACTAGTTGGCATGAGTGGCTCCCAACTATTTATATCAATCATTATTCTATACCACCACGTCTACAAGCAATTTTTAAGGGGAACATCGTTAACGAAGAGAGGACACGAATTTTACAGAATACATTTTATCTGCTGACTTTGGAATAACAGAGAGACTGATACACTCCAAATTCGTTATATATTAACAGGTTATATACTCTTAAAAGTTCCATGGTTAGACATTTGATGGTTACTAGATATAACGCGAACAATTAAATTCAGAGAGGGAATCTCTATTACAAGGGCAAACTATAACTGACTTATTTAGAATTACGTAACTATCAGCAACTAACTACTTTGACGGCTATTGATTTTAATTTCTTGCGTTTTAGGTTGCATCACCCCATTTTTCCCCCAGTATACATCCCACATTCTGTGAGTGCTTCATATTCATTTCCTACTTTGTCAGCAGAATATTCCTTTCTTACCTCGACTGACTTGACTACAGTCAAAAGTTGGATTAGGAAACACCAGACCACATTAGCTAACTATGCCAAACATACTTCTTATTTTCATAACTCAAGGTGATCGACTCCATGCCTAGCTGTAAACCTGCTCCTCTGTAATAATACTACGCTACAATCACAGTTAAGAATGTCCATGTGAAGTTCAAAGTAAATACAGTTCATGAAAACTATTACCTTCCTGCAAAACTAATGTGTACAAAACACTGGTTAAAATATAAGGAATTCTTTAGACAATAACATCTTGTGATTTTCTTACACATGAAAACGAATAAAACTGAAAATAAAGCGAGTGATAGTCGTGATTGAAAAGAGACGAAACCCTACAATTATAGTAAACACAGTAATAATAGTGGCTTTATTCCAAACTATATTTTCGACACAATCTGGCACAATCTCAGGAGTCCCATATTCAATTTTTTTAACCCTCCTTATTGATATATTTTTATATAACTCTAAAGTGGTTCTGATATTGTTTCACACTATTAGAATGATAGTTTGTATATATATATATATATATATATATATATATATACATATATATATATATAAAAACACAGTTTTTGTTCAGCGAAGAAATTTCTTTTCAACGACTTCATTTTCAAGCTGTACAGTCGTATTTATATTACACAAAAGGTCATTAAGTGGCACTAAATAATTGCTCAGTCAATATACATATATGTGATAAGAATAACGATTATTAAAATCTTATAAGGGGTAGAGTTGAAGTGGATAAATTACAAAATTATTAAAGATTGTTTTATAAGTGAATTGAAAAATGTTTTAAAAAGGTCAAGTGTTGTCTAAAAAAATTTTATCAAATAAAAGTACGATTACGATAAGAATGAAGATGTGAAGTGAAGTGGAAAGAATTCAAGTGGTAAAATAAAATAAAGTAAAAACTAGAAAGAACATTACTATGACCAAGGTAAAGAAAGGGGTTTGACAAAACGTTTTTGAACACATAATTTAGGTTTCTGTTCATGTATAGCTAAAGCTTCGGCTATGCATAAGTGAAGAAAACGTAAACTTTTGGATCGATTCGATTTTGCCATGTAGATAACTTTGAAAGATGAATCACGTGGGGCTAAATGACCTGACTCTAACAGGTGATCACAGATAGACGACTTCGCGGTTCTACGTTCGCCTTTCATTAACCAGACTGGATAGTGTTCAGCTACACGTTTTCGGAGATTACGCTTACAACGTCCAATATAAACCGCTCCACAAGAGCAGGTAAAAGAGTAAATACACATGGATGTGGACAAAAGCGGTAATCTATCCTTGACGCATTGTCTGATCATATTTCGGCTGGTAAAAACTAGTTGTAAGTCAGCTGCAGGAAAAGTACGTTTAATACATTTAGATAAACGATTTTCAATCAATTCCGAAATGGTGTCACCTTTGAATGCCAGACTCATAAACAGTTTTTTCTTCGGCACTGTAATTTGTCTAGGGGCGTGTTCTTTCTTGATGTTACGTTCGATAAACCTTGTAGGATAACCATTATTAAGGAGATTTGATCGAAGCTTATCTAGTTCACTGTCGATTGTCTCTGCAGAGCAGATTTTACGAATTCTAGAGCATAAGGAATGAATAAGATTTCTCTTCCTCCCTAACGGTACCCAACTGTTGAAGTTAGTGTACTGCCCTTGGTCATAGTAATGTTCTTTCTAGTTTTTACTTTATTTTATTTTACCACTTGAATTCTTTCCACTTCACTTCACATCTTCATTCTTATCGTAATCGTACTTTTATTTGATAAAATTTTTTTAGACAACACTTGACCTTTTTAAAACATTTTTCAATTCACTTATAAAACAATCTTTAATAATTTTGTAATTTATCCACTTCAACTCTACCCCTTATAAGATTTTAATAATCGTTATTCTTATCACATATATGTATATTGACTGAGCAATTATTTAGTGCCACTTAATGACCTTTTGTGTAATATAAATACGACTGTACAGCTTGAAAATGAAGTCGTTGAAAAGAAATTTCTTCGCTGAACAAAAACTGTGTTTTTACTTATGAATAAATGGGTATTTTTCGTGATATATATATAAGTTTATTCGACAAGAGACAATCAGTTACATTATTAACAATAAGAATTCCAATGCGTTCACTTTATGATACACATGAATTAACAATTTTAAGCAACTTACTTTTATGCCTAAATTGGCGTAGAATTTTGTGATTGGTATATACATCCTATCAGAATATTGGTAAACTGAATAGCCAAGCAACAGAACGCCACATACTATGCATATTTCCGTAATGCGTATCAGCCATGAATCTGGCTTTTTACGACGTGCAAAAGGTACATTGTCAACGTAGGAAAGATATTTTGTTGAAGATTGATTATATCTTCTATAATCATAATTACGTTTCTTGTTTCCCACATTTTTCCTCAGTAACTGTACATTATCATCACCAGCATCGTCATCTTCATGCTGTAAATGGTTTGTTTTCAATTCTGAAATCGACTTGCGTTTACGTAAACCTTCATGTTCATTTATTCCCTGCATCATAACTGATCTACAATGTTATAAGAAATGTTGTTTTGGAACTCCACAGGTTTTAGAGTTTTTCCTTTATATAATAACTTCAGATATGCCTGTTTCTATAGAAACACTTGATTATTGTTTTCCCCCTTTATACTCTTCACTAAGGCTACATTTGTAAACAATAATTCACTGTATTGTAGAAGTGTACTGTTATCAATATACAAATAAATAATAGTGAAAGCAAATAAATAACACAATAGTTTACAGTATTGAGTTAATCTTTTAACGAAACAGTATTTGAAGCTGTTTAGCTGACGATGGGGACTTTAAAGTTTCTTTGAATGATATACTCTATAAAAATGCATTGAAAACGGTTGTATTTCGAGAAATACTGGCTCTTCACTATCTGTATCAGACTGATAAAAGTTGATTTAAAAGTGCATTAAGTGATGTATTTGTAGGCATACTTCAAGAGATCAGTCATAGAAGAATTGAGAATTAGAAAGTCTTTACCTCTATCACAAGAACCAATCCACTTATAATGAAGATGAGTATAGGTGGTATCATGAATTCAAAGACATTTGTTTTCTGTGTACGGTAAATTCCTCCCAATTGTTGTCAATGTATTTATGAGCATGACTAACAGACAAGGTAGTCTGAAATAATAAACCAAAGGTCACGGTGTGTGTTGATGTTACTCTTTGATATTTGTCAGTAATTCACATGGCTTCACTAGAGAAGCTACTGAGTGCATTATTTAGAAGGCAGTTGTCTGCCAACAACTGGTATGTAGATACACCACTAAACAAACTATTAAAGAAAGAATAGACGATTCTACACAAGTGTTTTTCTGTGGCAGTTAAAACCATTAACCATCGCAGTACTACATATTCAGTGAAAATGAACTCGAAGTACAGGAAGGTAAATAGTGTTGTAATTCGATAACACACATGAATTTTATTTAACTGAACACCATACTTAAACTGACAAGATTAAATAATTGTCTCTTGGTACACAGAGATACCGAATCAAACAAGAATGTACTCTGACGGATTAGAGAATGACTATTCTGCATCGTGAAACAAATATACGTCTCCTTACCCAACAACCTTAATCCCTTTGTGTTCCAAGCAGAATCGTACGATGTAGCTTTTGATTTATATAAGACCAATCGCATATATACACAACTGATAGGCACTAAATTCTAAATGGAAAGTCTTGTGGTGTTTCTTCATTCCATAAAGAACCACATGTGGACAGGCTGATCTACTTCACAGAAGTTAGCCATTTTTTGTATTCGCTTCATTTTATTTCACTTTATTTGATTTTCAGATTGGTGAGAGTGGGAAATCTCCTAAAGAGTTGGAAAAAATTATTGTTTGTTTGAAAAAAGTATTAAAACGCAGTCAAGCTGAAAACGAGCGTTTGAAGTGTGCACCGGGACCGGTATCTCAAAGTCAGTTACAACAATATAAAGCAGAAATCAAACGACTGCAAAGTGAGTTAGAAACAGCGCAGTTAGTTGCTGGAGGTAGACTGTTAGATCGTCGAATGGCGGATGAACAGGGAACCACTAAATTAATGCATGAGTACGATAACCTAAGGAAAAGTTATGAAGAGGTAAGTTTTATTAAATAATGCACGTTGTTCAAAATCGGAAACACTTTTAGCGTCTAACTACTGAAAATTATATAAATTCAGTAGAAGGTTGAACAAGTACTTGTAGTTTTGTCTTATAAAAAAATCCATCTTTGAAGCAAGTGATCACTATCAAACTATTTAAATAGGTCTTCATATTCTGCTGACCAAATAACAATCGTCTGTACACATATACCAGAATTATGCATACTGTACACGGTCACCGAAATCATAATTCCGTACGTGCAACTCCTACAGCGAGATTCGTAGTGTTTGTTGTTCATCAGCTTATTCGAAAACCGAGAATACTTAAGGTTAAAAATATGATTTGAAGCATAGCCTTCAGCAACATTTTAACTGACTGACTAACTGACTAACTTGAGAATCATCGTAAACCTTTAAACACATGTGTGACAACTCAAAACAGCGCACAGATTTTGTTAATACCCGGTCCATTATGACTGATATGAATTCCGAAATAATTGATACTGTTGAAAACATTGGTCAGTATAGACCAGCCATTTATCATTGCCTTACGTTTAATTTTGAGTAGACTACATGCCATTTCTGTTCCTGGTATTTTGGAGATTCTGGATTTTGTCAGTGTTTTCCCCTTAACAAGAGTGTATAGTCTGCATGTTTGGAGCCGACTGTCACGTTATCAGTCAATTGCTCAGGTACTGAATTCAGTTAAATCTCTATCAGCTAACCTAACTAACGCCACTCCAGACAACATAGGTAAATGAGTCCCACTGAAGTGTTTCGATAGGCATAGTACGCTTCTCCAACACTCCCTCCATTCATACGTTACAATAATACAGCTGTCCAACAGACCTTTATGGTATGACAGGAGTCAGAAGAACATTCCCTAAAGCCTGTTCAGATCTTTGTATCCTTGAGATATCTAAGACTAACAAACATTGATATGATGGCTGCTTTTTCGGAACTGGTAATTTTAGATTTCGATGAGCTACTATTATTATTTATTAGTATTCATATCATTACTACTGTTATTATTGAAATTGTCAGATCACAACAAAGAACCAAGAGATGAAAAACCAAATGCGACAGTTACGCCAAGAAATGGACAGAATAAAGAACACTCCTGAGAATCGAAACCCTGATAAGCAAACGGATGAAGATAAATCATGATATTTATTTATGCTATCATAACACAATAAACTATAAACCGTACTTATTCTTTTACACAAAATCATTATTGTTATCGTGTACGATGTTATGGAGAGAAAAAACATATAAACTCACGTGCTTGTTTTTTTTCTGGTGGACAAGGGTGATAGGGAGGCAATTAACGATAGACTTAGTCTTATTATTAGCGCAATGTTATCACTTTACTGATTATGAGTGTATAAATTAGAGGCTTAACCAGCACATAAGCACACTGGAAGATAAATAATAATACGTAGATCTAGTAGCTTTTTTCAAACCGTTTTCTGAAAATTCTCTTTCAGTAGGTTACATATTTCTAAAAGAAATAAATGAAAAACCTACAGTTGCAGTTCTGCTTTCGGTTTGCACCTTTCAGGTATACACCAGTGAGCAGATATATTTTAAAATTCACGTTATACAAGATCAGTAGGAGAACTTTTGTCGCTATGCTACATATGCAAGTTTATCAGCTGAATTCTATCAATGGAACATCATTTATTAACTACCCACCACTGATATTAAATTTGAAATCCGTGAAAGATTTTCATCCTTTGTAAATTTTGGCAGTATAGGGTTACCCACTGGCTACAAAAGTTTCACCTGAAGACAAACTCTGACGTTTCCTCTCTCTCCCTATATATATATATATATATATATATTGCTTTTGATTTCTACCTACTTAAACAGATTTAGTTATCAAGCAGTAATGATGATGAAAGTTAAGACTGTTCATTATAAATACTCTTGTTAAGAACTGTTTTAGGTATGCTTAAAGCAGTCTCTGTTACAACCAGCTTTTTTGAAGATATCACTTCATTGAATTATGCAGATCTAAACAATTGACAGATAAGCAACTTTGGATAAGGCACGGTGATAAAAACAGGTTAGCCATAGTGAAGTTTACAGACAATGATATAAACAGAATATGTCGCCAGTCGATGGAATAATGGATCTGAGTTAATTCAAGTGTTTAAAATTCATCTTGCATATACAGCCTTGCGTTTCCAACCGAGCCTATAAAATGCATCCAAAGCCAATGTAAAGTGAATCAAAAAAAAGTTATTACAACGTCCAGCATTTTACACAAAATACGCATATGTAGGACAAATTCATTATTAAATGACAAACTGAATTGTTTGATAAAAATCTGTTTTGTATGTCTGTGTACATTAAGTTTATCAAACAAAAATACAATTGGTTATGGTTATTTTAACTAAACAGGTGAAAATTAGTAAGTTTTTGGGTGGAGTTCCGTAATACAAAAGTGGTCATGAAAATTGGGTGTTAATCAAACTAGGGCGGTAACAAAGGTGATGAGTTGTCACAAACAGTTGTTAAAAGGGAGTTGCGTAATAATATGAATGGTTTGATGATTGAACTGTAGTCAAGGATGCACATAGAAACAAAGTAGGGAATATGAAATTACGTAAGAGTTCTAAATGAATACAAGAATTATAAGCAATTAAAGAAACAAGCAAACAAACAAAATTAAGTCATCGAAAATCAACTAAGTTGTTATCATGATAGTAGAAGTGGTTGAGTGATTCTCTTTTGTATGCATACCTCCGGTTTTTCTATGTGAATGGCCAGAGCTTCAGCAATACAAAGAAGACGAAACCGTATCGCCTTTGGTAGGTTATTCTTGACTCTGTAGATTACTTTGAAGGAGGCGTTTGTTGAGATGGAATGATTAGTGTTAACCAGGTGTTGAATTATCGCAATCCTTATAGCACCACTATTGCCTTTTCGCAACCATGCTGGATAGTGTTCTTGAATCCTCTTGGACAGGATGCGCGTCGAACGACCGATGTGCCTGGCTCCACAGTAGCAGGTGAACTGATATATGTACATACTAGTGGTCAGAGGCGGGATCTTGTCTTAAGGCTTCTGCAGATCAGCGGGCGACTGGAGAACACTATTCTTAGCGTTGCTGCAAAGAATGTTCTTCTCAGAGCTGATGCGATCCTTGTACTGTTAAGAAAATGAATTCGCCGAAAAGACACTCTTAGCTGAACTACGTGTTTTGTTTTCATTAATGCCTAGATGGGGATTATTCATGAATTAAAAAGTTTGCTTAGTAAAACCAATTAGTGTAAAGTGAATAACTGGAATAGGCAATGTTCAGAGCACAATAATAAATTTCCTTTAGTACGACTGTAGTACTCTCACAATATTTCAGCATACCGTTTGAACAAAAGATTTTCCTATTCAATTTTCCATAGATATGCTGACAAAGCACTATACTTTGTGTTTATCGTTATCATTAAAGTCAATGACACCTATGTGTACTATTGTAAAGCGAGTGACAATTCAACTAATTCAGTTAATGGGAGTTATATTAATGAACTTAGTAATCTATAAGCACTACTTAAATTGTGAATAGTCATGATGGTATATACTTGTTACTGCTCAAGAAATTGATGTTGGTTTCGAACTTGAGGCTCATTAATTATTATTATTATTATAGGTAGATATGCTCAAGTCAATGTGCTTACGAGATCTACTTTTTAAGCAGGATTTAGTGTTTCAGCTATAAAATGATAAACAAAACTCTCACTAATCCCATATGCACCTTTCCCAAAACCAGAGCCTCATTGACTGTTTAGTCACAAATCATGTAATTGACTTATTATTTAAATGTTTTGGCGACTATCTACTACGGCTTGACTGCCTAAACGGTTTTTATCCGAGCGTGGGAACCGGATCAATACATTCAGGTCTAGCGTATTTGATTGAGGCCACTTAGTTGGTGGTAGAACTCATCTTTAGATGCATCCGGCATGCGCTTCGTCGGTGCATATACAGAGACGACGAAAAGGGAACTATTCTCCAGCCAATTTTTTTACTCTAATATAATCTAATAAACTGATAGCA